CCCCCCCCCGCCGCTCAAAACAATTGCTGCGAATGGTACCTGCAGCCTTCAGCAAGCTAGTTTTTTTCAGGCCTGGGCTGGTGACCCCAGGTCACACTGTCATGACGTGGCGTGTTTGGGTGACTCAGTGACATGGGGAGTCGCTATCACTGGCTAGCTGTGAGGGACCATACGGGCATCCACTGACGCTAGGGTGTGTATTGTGACAGTCTGTGCTGATCCCAAAGCAAACCGAGCCGGAAACCGACGCGCAACGCTCTAGATCGAATAATACCCTGACCCCACTGCTTTTAAACCCCCGTATTGTGTCCTTCTGTCAGGATAAATCAGAGGCTCGACAACGGCGAGTTAGGCTGACAGCTCTGCGTTGCGCCCTTGAGTCCCCAAACAGCGCCACTTGCCCCAGCCTGGCCTGCACCAGACCTGCTGCTGGCGCTCCGCCCTGCCTCGGCCCCACTGCGCGGCATGGCGGGCTCACTCAGCCAGAATTACTCCCTCTGGCTGGAACCTGCGGCCGGCACCCTCAGAGACAGGCTGCAGCGGGAGATCAGGGCGCAGGCGGCGGCGCACGGAGGCCCGTATTTCGAGCCCCATGTGACGCTGCTGCCAGACATCCAATTAGACAGGCAGCAGCTGCTCGACGCCGCCGCAGGCCTCGCCAAGCGGATCAAGGTGCGCGCTAATGTCGCATTGCCCGTCGCCAGGCGGCCCGCGACTGCGCCAAAGCTGCAGGAGACCCCTCGCCGCCCTCGCGGGCTGCACCCATTCTAATGTACCGCAACCACCTTGCCTTTCGTCGCGCCGCGCAGCCGTTCCGCATAAATTTTGACGACGTGGCCTGCGGCGCGTCTTTCCATCAGTGCACCTACATCCTGTGTGCCAAGGAGCCCGCCCTGCTGGCCGCCAATGCGGCTGCGCGCGAGGCGTTTGGCAAGGCGGAGCCGGGCAGCCCCTACATGCCGCACCTATCCCTGCTGTACTCAGGTGACGCACGCGGCACGGGTGGGAGGCCGGGCCCCTAGATGGATATTCCTGTCCAACGCAGCAGCCTGCAAGCGGCAGGCCTGAGATAATCGCATTGCAAGGCTGCTGTCTTGGGCCCGGCGGTTGTGCAGTGATGGGGCCTGGCAGGGCTCCATCCGGAAATCATGGATGCCCAAGCCGACACCCTCTCCTGCATAACGCGCCTCTTTGGATCAGATGTGGACGACGAGGGCCGGCAGCAGTCAGCGGCCGCGGCGGTGGCGCGGCTGTGGGGCGAGGGCTCCGGCTACGACACGCTGCTGCCGGACGGCGGCTTCCCAGCGGGCAGCTTCTCGGTGTGGCTCACGCCCGTGGAGGACCGGAGCCTGCAGAGCTGGCAGCGGGTGGCAGAGTTCCAGCTCGCAGGGTAATGCGGACGTCCCTTCTCTCTTCGTTCCACTGCTGCGCGGCAGCTTCTATGTTGCTGCAAATGAGTCTTGAAGCTGACGTAGCTGTTGCTTTGGTCGAAGGCGCGCACAGCACCTCCACTCATAATAGCTGGAACATCTAGTGGGAAACTTCTTCAGGCTGCAAAAAGGCCAAGCTTTAACTGTACGTGTCAAGATGCGTAAGCAGCCTCACACAGTCATGCACGGCAGCCAATCCAGTGCAGGAGGCAAGAGCAAGTGCAGATGTATGGCCCTCAACATGTGTTTGGGGCGGGAAACACGGCATTCTTGATGAATTTCGAATATCTGATCAACCTGCATTGCTAACGAAGGGTGATTCGCAGCCATGGTGTTCCGTTTTGCGGATGGATTGCAAGCTGCCGCCGTTGCTGAGGGCAGAGCAGCGGCGCACTGTATCGCGGCAAAGCACGCACTCCTCTCGCGCAAAATCCGGGTGGGCAACTTGTAAGGCCCAAGAAGCCGAACGAGCTGAAGTGGCGAGTGGGGGGGGAGCGCGTCGATGCAGCTCGACACCTCGCAGGGTCAGGCAGGTGGCTGCAGCTGCCGCGGCTGCTGTCGTAAGTTATGGCTCATGCCACCTTCTTTGCTGCGGGCTGCGGCATCACGAAGTGGCTCCACACGTTCACAAAGTAGGCAGAGAGGCTCCACAGGGCCAGCCCCGCGGCGCCCCAAAGCAGGACGAACGAGGCGCAGACAACACCTGTCTGCGTCACGTGCGCAGCTGCGGGGATGTACGGACGAGAGGGCGAGGGTGGGGGGGGGAGGCAAGGAGGCGGGTCAGAGGCAACAACTGAGGTCCAGGGCGGGGTGAGCAGCCGCCCCTTGCAGCAGGATGCAACTTCACACACCCGAAACAACAGAGCTGGCTGCAAGGAGCGGGCAGGACGCACCCGCCCAGATTGAGGGGACGACGGTGTCGTCGCGGCCAAAGAGCAGCAGGCTCATCGCTGTCATCTGCAGCGCCGTCTTCCACTTGCCAAGGGCGTTGACCTTGACCGCCTGCGCAAACAAACACAACATGAAAAGGATTTGAAGGATCGGCGGTGTTCAGGTGCAACGCACTTTGGCTGGTTTATAAATGTGGTTACCGGAACGCTGGATGTGATGTCCGAGAAGCAACCGACAAACGCAGCTCAGCCGTCCGCGGCTATGCCGTAGACGCACGACTCCGCCCCGCCGCCGGGCCGGCCTCCTGCCGCCAATGCGCACGCACCTTGTGCGCGCCGCCGCCCGCGGCGGCCGCCCATTCTCGCAGCGCCGACATCGTGATTTCGCGGCAAATGATGAGCATCACGGGTGCCGCCATCTGCTCGGGCTTGATCGGGGACGGCGGGCTGAGGGACAGCAGGATCAGCGCTGATGTCACCCTGGGGCAGTTGAGCAAGGTCGAGAGGGGGGCGGGGCCGAGGCCGTGCGAACTTGAGACAAGGAAGGCTACCAGATTACGTCCGGCAGGCGCAGGCTGGCAATTTGCAGAAGAGAGGGGGGCGCGAAGGAATGTGCAATGATGTGCTACAGCGGGCACGTCGACGCCCGCCATCGTGTGGGGGTGTACACGGGCAGCCCGTGGTGTCTGTGTCCAGCACTGGGCGTCGTCAAAGATTATTGTGGTGCATGCTTGCGTGCACGCGTTTGTGTGTGTATGTGCGGACGCGCGCGTCTTGTGCCCTTGCGTGTAGGGCAGAAGGGTGGCCTTGCGCCCGGGAGAGTCCATGCCTGTTCAAATTGCCGGCTGCTCCCCGCTCCTCACATGATCTTGTCGGCCACGGGGTCCAGGAAGGCGCCAAACGTTGTAACAATCTCAAACTGAGGAAACGGGGTGGGGTGACGTGGCAACACCCTGAGAGTCTCGGGTAGGCGCCAATGCTTGCCTGCTCGGCAGTATACATATACACAGCCGCTTACACTGCCTTGTACATGCAGCTGTTTGCACTCCCCGGGAAACAGACACACGCGCGCGCGCACAAGCGCGTGTGCGTGCAAGGGCAGAGGCCTAAGGCTCGGGGGGCCCCCAGCGCACCTTCCTGGCGATGTAGCCATCCAGCCAGTCGGTGAATGACGCCGCCACAAACAGGATGGCGCACCACAGCGCAGCCGTCGCCAGCGGCGCGAACCACACGGCAACGAGCACGGGTACCGCCACCAGGCGTGCAAACGTCAGCACGTTGGGCACGTTCTGCTCGCAACAGGATGCAGTGGGTTTGGACATGTGTGGACATGCGACGGATGAGGTTGGGGACACATGCACTCTTCGCTGCTGGTGCTTAATCAGGGAAGTCGTGCGGCCCCCAGCCCAGGGTCTCGCCTCCGCACGCCGCGCTGCAGCCCAGGCCGGCGCGCACCACGAGCGACTGCCGCTCTCCCACGGGCGGCGGATTGTCGTGCACGTGCGACAGCGCCTGGAGGCGGTAGTAGTCGCTGCGGCGGTCGATGGCGGCGTCGAAGGCCTCCACGCCGGGCACGACGCCGAGCAGCGGGATTCGTGGGACCTGCGGGCGATTTCAAGCGGCAGCGCGAGATGCGGCAGCAGCAGAAGCGGTAGCAGCAGCGACGACGGCGTGATGATGAAGATGGTCGCGGCGGTTTTCGATCAGCAGGCTCTCTGCGCTGACAGAGGGGCGGTGTCGCGTGAGAATCATGCGCAGCTGTTGCTCGCACCGTGTGTGGGTGGGCCGCGGCCGTGGGCGTCCCGACCGCGCCTCCATCGGCCGACTGGTCGGTAGACCTATTCCGGGTTGTGACCATGTCGCAGCGCCTGCTGGTGTGTGCTGTTCTGGCTGCGCCAAGCGGCGCCTGGGTCGCAGCGGCGAACTTATCAGCACTGCCCCACTGTTGCTGCGCCCACTGGCGTCTCAGGTGAATGAATGCAGCGAGGGATCGAGCTGCCGGCAGACCTCTCGGGTCTGTATATGCCACTGAGCTTTTCTATCAAAGTGCAGGCAGGGCTTGCGGTGACTGAGCGCTGCAGCCTGGTTCAGTGATCAGTGGGCCAAGCTGGGAATCGCGCAGGGAGTGACCGGTAGGAATACGTCACAAACGACCGGATCATTCAATGAGCACTTTGCAAACACCGCGCGATCTTGGCCGTTCGGTACTCTAGCAACAGACCCTTGAACGGCGTCTGCGTGGTGAAACACACTATCAATGTTTGAATTGATGTATCTGAAACTATATACGCTTGCCTGAACACCTTCTCTCTGCGGCACACCGCACCGGGGGTGGGGCCGCCAGCCACGTCAGGGCATCACGCACTAACACCGTGGGACAGCTGCGCTGCGTGTATACCAGAAGAGTGTCCAGCATGAGCACAACACCTGGCCACAGAAGACGCCATTGCATCGGCTTACCACGCGGTCAAGCCAGGCTTGCAAAGTCAACACAACAATTGTGAGGCCTCCGCCCCCAAGGATGGCAGCGCAGTGGGTAGAAAGTCAGTGCTGCTTCTCCTGCAAAAACCGCTCTACTTGCTTCTGCTAATGGGGGCATGTGGGGCCATGTGCGCTGGAGCGAGGATCAGGTGACTTTAAGGTCACCCCTCCGCGATGGGATCGATTGGCTCGATTGTGCTGTAGACTTTTCTGATGATTCCGTCACTTTTTCAGGACTATAGTACTTGTTATGCTTGAGTCCGTCTTAGCATGCATGCAGCGACGAGGATTTCATCACCATGCGGCGACTGGAGTGGCCATCCACACATCGACACCGCAAACGGCGGTTGTGGCAAGCAGCAATATGCTCGAAGCAATGAGCGATTCCTGCTATACATGCTCTTTGATTGCCGAGTCACCTGAATACCAAGCATGAAGTTGGCTGCTGCAGAACCAAGCTGTGACAGAACCAGCCTTGACGTCACCTGGCGACCTGGGTGACACTGGCGCCACACTCATGTGGCGTGCTGAATTGAGGTGTCATATGCGAAAGAATTTCTCTCATATGTGCAGTTTATAGTGCAGCAGAAGCGCAGATCGCCGCGATCCACCACAAGCAAATTGTCGATTGTGTCAAACCGAGTAGTGCTTTGAATGTCGCTTACTCAAGTCATCATAAGTCCAGGTTGGCGGCATTTGCGGTGCTGGAACCCGCACATGAGCCTGTCGGCGCTCGCCAACACACAGACGCTGCCGCTGCACGCTGCGCCCCCATTCCGCAGAGGTTTTCTTGGCGTGCACGGCGCATGCGCTCAGCACAGAGGACGAGGAGGTCATGGGACTCCTGCTTGGAGACATACAAGTGCGCAGCGAGGATCCACCGTGTCGTCAAAACTACGCTGCTCCGCAGGGCGTGCACCGCACCGAAGCGCGGGGGTTAGCTGTGGCAAGTTTTGCAAGCACCCCTGAACAGGACGCCCGCCACCTCCCGGCCCCGCCGCCCGGATGCGCAGGGCACGCCGGAGGCGCCTGTGGCCCACATTTGGCGGGCCGTGCCCCAGATCAGGACCGATAGGCGGAAGGTGCGGCCGGCTTTTGCAGTCGGGTCAGGAGTGGGGCCCGATGAAGGGGCCGACGCAGAGGCTGTCGCGCGGAAATGCATCTGCGCCAGAGGCCGCAGCGCGGAAGCTGCTGCGCCAGTCGCTGCGGCACCCGGCGCAGCCAGGCGACCTCGGCGTCCCCGCGGCAAGCGGCTCATCAAGCTTGCAGCCGGCGGCCCACCACCAGCCCTGCTTCTCCGTTTTGAACACACACACACACACACACACACACACACACACACACACACACACATACACACACACACACACACATCCTCTCTCTCTCCCTGGCCCCCCCCTGCCTCCACCTCAGGACCGCGTTGAGACCAGCCCCGAGCAGATGGCCGACGCCACCGCCCTCGCCGACCGCCTCACCCACGCCACCGGCGTCCGCACCCGCACCGTCGGCTGGTTCCACTCCCACCCCCACATCACGGTGCTGCCCTCGCACGTGGACGTCCACACCCAAGCCATGTACCAAATGCTGGAGCCGGGGTTCATCGGGCTGATCTTCTCAGTGTTTAATCGGGACGCCGCGACCAAGGGCCACAGCGTGTCCGCGACTGCATTCCAGTCGCTGCGCGCGGGGTCCGCGGCGGCGGAGGCGGCGGAGGCGGCGCGGGCGGCTGAGGCGGCGGCAGGCGGCGGCGGCGGCGGCGGCGGGGGGGAGGATGGCGGGGGGCTGCCAGGAATGAGCAGCAGCGACTTGGCGGGGTACGACGCGGCGACGCGGCACGCGATTAGGGCAGCGACGGCGGGTGAGCAGGCGCGGGCGCTCAGGGGAAGGGGGCGCCCAGGGGCTGCT